CATATATATATTGTATATATATAAATATATATATATGTATATATGTACATATATATATATATATATATATATAATCAAAATATTTAAATCAAGGCAGTGAACATAATATATAAATATAACCAAATGGATTAACAGTGCTCAGATTTAGAAGCACATTTCGTTAATACAATAGTGGGAAAACATATCTCCGGTGGGATTCAATGAGGGGCTAAAGAAAGGCCAGAGAAAACCTAATTCTGGGTAGTCTTCAGTTCGTCGTCGTCGTCGAAAAATAGCATTTTGTCTACGTATTGCCATAAAAGTGTGTAAAATGAGTTGCTTATAATCATATTTGAAGTCTAAACGCAGCCTCAGTGGCCCAATTGGCTAGGCATTAATACAAATAGCAAGGTCCCGGGTTCAAATCCTGGTTGGAGAAACACATTGTTTCACAGATCTCTTTTATTCGTTTATTATACTGAATTCGAATGTAAAACATACCAATTGGTCTTCCATCGACTCTAGCAAACGCCTGGGATGCAGCAGGACCATAACCGATCTTATTTCCACATGCAACAGTAATATTGTAGTAAGTAGACGGTCTAAGATAGCTGATTCTTAGTTTGGAATATTTCGCTGAAATGTACCGGATATCGGGCGCCAATGTTTTCGCATTTGAATCGATGTACGTTACGTAGCAGGTCTGTAACGGAAGATTACCAGTAGATCCAAATGTCCATGAGACAACTAGACTGTTATCCGCCTGACTATCAGTTCGAATGTTTGTCACTGGCCCGGGTTTATCTGTTGGGATATAGTAACATTATTTTCATTAGTATCTTTAAATAGATATTTTGAGAATACTGGTTTTAATGGTGCAACATAAACTTAACTGCTAATTTAAAACGATCAAATAATTTATCAACTGTTTTTTACTTAGTAACATACGTTTTACTAAGAATATTTAAATTTGCATTACCAGTCAATTTAAATATCTTTGCAAAGAATATAGCAACTGTTGTAGCTCAACCTTGTGGTGGCGCCAGGATTTTCCTGATTGCTGAAATTATGAGACAGAAAAAGAAGGGAGGAACGATGTTTCCGACGAGAGCCTAATACCCCTCTAAAGTCTCTGGAAATAGGGGTTTGGAATCTGACATTTAATCGATTTTAGTGTCTTACAATCTGTAAAATTTCCTGACGAATTGTGTTTTTTTTTTCTCCCCGACGAAGTAGAAGGGGGTGGGTGGAGATGCACTGGCGTCACCGTTGGCTCAGCAGACGTTCACTTCGTTTCACTTTTACACTAAAGAGTATAACTAGGTATCGGTTATTTCCTGCCGAATTGTACTCAGGCGGTACTGGAGAGGGACAACTAGATTTCGTGCTCCACAACAAGACATCCAGTCGTAGAAGCCTTTATGAAGAAAACCTACTTAAAGTGGTCTAGATTGCCACGAGACCAGCTAACTCCGGCTTTGCATATAGGAGGATTGAATTGTGTTAAATGGACAATGCACATGGTGTTTACGAACATTCCATGCTAGGTTTGTAGGCCCTAGTCTAGCTAAGACTAGGTTTATTAATTTTAGTATATCATCAATATTATTAATACATGAAATGTAATACAGTAATAAGAACAGGAAGAAGGAAAAATAGGAAAGAAAATTGGAGCGGCTGAAATATATACCGAAAATCTACAATAATAATCAATTTGTCATTATTGCATTACGTTTTTGTAACAATGTTGTAGGCACTAATAATCAATAGTCTCGGTGCCGGCAGCCTACACGTTTGATAATTCTATTTATATTCTTTGTTTACACATGTTACTCATTAACATTCGAATGCCTTTACCTAAAACTGTCAATAGTGTTGATTTTTCGCTGTTCTCTCCTCCGTTTGTGGCTTGACAGTAATATTGCACGGTGTCACTACTCTGGATATTATTGATCGTAAGAGTACTGGTATACATCATATATCCGTTTAATTTAACATCTGAAACAGTGTATTTGTTAGAATTTGTGATTTTTGTTTTTCCTTGAGTTGTGTCAGGTGGCGACTTGAACCAGTTTACAGTTGGTGCTGGGGCAGCATTAACCAAGCAAACGATCTTTTCCTGTGCGGTTCCTGCCTGCGAAACATCGTTATTTGTCACTGCGGTTACCACAGCTGATTCTGGAATGAATGGTAAGAACAAACAGTTTTAGTAGTGAGGTTGTTGGTGACCAATACTTCTTGCTTTGTGCTGGTTTTAGCACTATTGAAGCTTCACATTCATTAACATTTTAGTTTAGATATGAAGCTAAGATAAAAATGTTTCAGTTTCAATTTCAGTTTATTTTCCAAAATCTTAAATATTTTCAAGTACTGGACAATGGAAGGATGACCAACAAAAGAGCAGAGCTCGTATACCATTGGCCACCTAAACAAAATTATTAACAATAACACGGACGAACATGACAACATATTGGCAGGATGAAATGTTCTCATACAGCCGGTGAAAATTTAGTAGGCACTTTATAAATATATAAACACACCACCCAAGGACTTATATGTAACAGTTATAATTCATTAAACCACCACCATCATCATCATCGTCTTCATTTTCATCGCCACCACCGTTTTCATTATCGTCCTCATAATCGTCGTCGTGATTATCATAATCATCCTCACCATGCTACTCATCATCATCATTTTGCTATATCTCGTTGTTGATTTGATTTATGTATTACACATGAAAAAAGTTCATGAATGCGATCTCCAAAGAAGCCAATGCATCCATAACTCTGCGAGCCAGAAGTCCCAAAAATAATTTGTATAATTTATAATACTTACTAGTCATTTTTGAGACGAACGATGCGTAAGCTGGTTCACTTTCACCCTTTATGTTGCTACAACTCAGCGAGATGTTGTACTGAACTAATGCGTCAACTCCACCAAGTATGAATTTGCTATTTTCTACACTAATGTGCACTAATTGTGAGGCAAATCCAGCTTTAGAACTATCCACGTATGTTAAAATACATTCAGTAAGCGGAAGATTTCCCGTGAAATCCATATCCCATGTCACCTGGATGCTATTTGGTGTAATTCGCGTTGCAACTAAGTCGTTAGGAGAATCAGGCTTCGCTATAAGAAAATATACAGAGGAATAGTCATACCAATTTCCTCAGTGGCACAGAAAAAGTCATGGCCGTAAGTACAAGGTACCATTGAATACAACGATAATAAACATAATGGTGGCTGAAATAATGTATATAATAAAAAAAAAATAAAATGTACGTCAGTTTAGCTAATTCATGTACTGTACAATATTGTAACTCATATTATTATCAAACATATCTGAACGGAATATCTGAACGTGAATTTCAAAATATTTGGAAATAGCCCATTCAATAATGGGAAGGGAAAGAACAATAATATAAAAATACATTCTCTCTTAGAAAATGTATAAGGTCGTCATTATTAGTACTAACTGAAATAACCCATTTAAATTAAACTACTATAATTTACTTTAGTACTATATTATTTAATTTCATTATCATAATTTGCCTATTGACCTAAACTGCAATATTTCAAAATTTAAGTCATAACGGAGTAAACTTACTGAGTACATATAAGTTACAATTCTCCTCTTTGGTAATCGTCTGTTTATTGACTACGTTCTTTGCCTGACATCTGTACTTTCCATCGTCAGCGCGAATGACACCAACAATGTTAAGTCGACTTATAAATGACTTGGTTGCCACGTTATATTCCGCCGGTTCGACAATAATATGATCGTTGTCGCTGCTCATCTCGGTGAAAGCAACGCCGTTCGCAGAACGAAACCACTTGAATGTTGGTGTTGGGCCTCCCGACGCAGAACATTCAAACGTGTGATTAACACCAACATTTAATGTTGCAGATCTTGGGGGTTTGATGATGTTTACTTTAGCTGTTATATGAAGAAAAACAGACTACGTATTGTATGTTCACGTTTGTTTTATTTAAATTTTATTTAATCACATTCCTTTGAAACATTTCGGAAATGAAAAGAAAATAGCGTCGTCGTTGTGTCCGTCGTCGTCGTCATCGCCATCGTCATCATCATTCATATTGTCTTTTTTTCAGATAACAACACACAATAAGTGGAGAAGGCTATAATAAGACCATGTGCTGCGCAGAGCACAGACCTTTAGGCTAATAGCCCCCTTAATAAAAGGAAAAAAAAATAAACACATGAGATACCTTATTAGAATAAAAGTAATAATGCAGAACATTAAATAGTCAAATAATTATTAAATTATTTAAATTTTGTTCGCAACAAAAATTATTTAGAAACTAATATAAATAATTAATTTTGTACTTACAAAAAGACATTAGAAGAAACGCTGCTCGATCCTTCATAATCTTTAATCGATATGAATTATATGTTTGGCAGAAGTACTCCCCATTATCAAAGCTTGATACGCCATTTACTGTAAACGTGCTCCTATAAACGAACTCCCCAAGATATACTGTATCTGCTATCGAGAATTTATCAGTGTTGCGTATTTTTTGTCCATTGCCATCTAGCCACTCTATCTCTGGTTTTGGGTGACCATACACTTCGCAGACAAACTCTTTTGTTACACCCCACACTGTAGTAACGTTCACGGGTTTCGTGGTAATTCTAGCAGGGGCTTGGAATAAAAAAGTGTAAATGTTTAAAAGGTATATATACCTAATAACATGTATAAATATAGCAGTAGCAAAAATGGTTGCGTCGGTTTAAGTGTGGCCCCAATGTTTTTCTCTGAAACGAGTAGGCCCTACCACTAAATAGTTAATTTCGTGCTAAATACGGGTTCTTTAAACTGACAGAGACTAGCCGTCTATCCGAACGGTTTTCGAAACATAGAACATACAGTATCACAGTTAAATAATGATAACCTAAAATGCATATTACATTACTATAGCTGCACTCTGTAATGTGTATTGTAGGCCTACTTTTATGAAGTAGAAACTGTCTTGTCATGAACGAGCATACACGAATATGCAATTAAAACGCTTTATTTGTGTCTACTGGGCTAAGAATTAACTGTAAGGCCCCACCCACTCTTGACCGTCAACCTCAATACACTGTACACAATAATGTAACACATGATCAGATATATAGTGTGATTCGGTCGTGATTTATTACGACAAAAGGCAAATGGACCGTCGCACATGATCGGTCCCTAAAATTAACTTCCATAGTAAAAATTCTTAAAAAGTGGCCAACAAGCCAAGCGGCAGGGTGTCTTGGCGCCCTAGTGTATTGGAGGAGGAAGGGGTGGCAGGCAGGAAAAAGAATTTCCAAGGAGTTATCGGTGCACGGAGCGAGGTAATTACAATCCGCAACGAGAAAAGGGGTCCGGTTATGATTCCACACGAGGAAATGCAATAGAGTGACACCAATTGGGGTGTACCTACGCCCCTTGACACAAAGAGTTTTTCCGCTGGTGTCGGAAAATTTATTTTTCTTCTATACAAGTTATATTTAGTGTGTGTTATTTACCATCTGTGTTTTGTATTTTGTTTTATATTTTTGTATTCTATATTTTTATTACATTGTACCAAGAAAGCAAATTTTATGTATTGTAATCACTATTGTAAGTACCTTTATTGCTTCTCTTTCATAACAGACGCACAATTGTCAAATGTGCAACAATAACGAACTGTAATAATTCATATGACAAATAAAAAAAACTTTGAATTTTGAGCTGAACAAGATAAAAAATGTATAGTTACCCACACCACAAGGCCCATCGCCCACACTTACTCCATCCATAGCAACAGTAAAATTTGAACCTGCCAGGGCCTCAACAGTAATGTAGTACGTTTTTCCTGGTGTGATTCCATGGATTGTGGAAATAACTGGATGCCAAAAGTTACCATGGTTATCTCTGCGTGTCCAGATCATTTTCTCAACACCATCAGATACTAAATAAGATGTTATTGACCCGCTAGGTCCACTGATGAAGTAGTGAAATGACATACAGGCGGAATCATTATTCAGAACAAAGTCAGGACTCCTCGCTTTACTGAAGGATGTTACGCTGCCTGTTTCCCGAATATAAGCATAGTAGTCACCTAAAATACAAGGGAAAGCCAATAAGAACTTTTTTCAAAAGGACAATGCACACGCTGTGATAATGTTGAAAACGATAAAGAAGATTATGACAATGATGATGATGATGATGATGTTGTGACATGTCGTTCAGGAGGATGAGGAAGATGATGTTCAATATTGAGATTCAAAATTCAAGATTATTTTATTGTCAAAAAAAAAAAAACAAAAACAAAACAAACTGGAAATTCTATTTAGTTACAACTATATTAATACATATAGACAATGGGCTGGAGGAGGTGGGGAACTGTCTCTTATACACATCTAGATGTGTATAAGAGACAGGCCCACACTTACTCCATCCATAGCAACAGTAAAATTTGAACCTGCCAGGGCCTCAACAGTAATGTAGTACGTTTTTCCTGGTGTGATTCCATGGATTGTGGAAATAACTGGATGCCAAAAGTTACCATGGTTATCTCTGCGTGTCCAGATCATTTTCTCAACACCATCAGATACTAAATAAGATGTTATTGACCCGCTAGGTCCACTGATGAAGTAGTGAAATGACATACAGGCGGAATCATTATTCAGAACAAAGTCAGGACTCCTCGCTTTACTGAAGGATGTTACGCTGCCTGTTTCCCGAATATAAGCATAGTAGTCACCTAAAATACAAGGGAAAGCCAATAAGAACTTTTTTCAAAAGGACAATGCACACGCTGTGATAATGTTGAAAACGATAAAGAAGATTATGACAATGATGATGATGATGATGATGTTGTGACATGTCGTTCAGGAGGATGAGGAAGATGATGTTCAATATTGAGATTCAAAATTCAAGATTATTTTATTGTCAAAAAAAAAAAAACAAAAACAAAACAAACTGGAAATTCTATTTAGTTACAACTATATTAATACATATAGACAATGGGCTGGAGGAGGTGGGGAATCCCCGTGCCCCCCCCCCCCCGCCCACCCTCCACAGTTAAACTTCCTTGGTATCATTTTGTATTCAAATATTACAGTAGTACATTTAATCAATTTATACATTTTTCTTGTAAATAATTTTTTTTATGTTCCATATGCTTATTGTAGATTTCTAAACGCTTGTGAGTGTGTCATTGACCTCTTCTGTGCAGGTCAATGACCTATGACCTCTAGTAACGTCAATTTCTGCCTGTTTTAAAACCTTTTCAATATCCTATAGGCTAAATACCAACCATCATACAAATCAATTGACTAAATCAAGAACTGTTGTTGATTAGAAATCTAGGATCATAACACAATGACAGTAGTACATTTAATCAATTTATACATTTTTCTTGTTAATATCATTTTTTTTTTTATATTCCATATGCTAATTTGTAATAGAAAATACCAATTGGTATCAAATCTACTCACAACCGTAGATTTGTAAACATTTGTGAGTGAATTGGAAATAAATTTACAATTTTTCTGTGGACCTCTAGTTATGTCTGTTTTCAAAACTATATATATGCCCGTAGGAACAAAATTATATCAATGAAGTTTAACTTGGGAGGGGAGGGGGTGGGGTTTGACCCCGCACCCTAGCCCATTGTCCAATACATACAACATTACTGTATATACAAACATCTAAAATATAACAAAAATAGCAAAAAGTACCGTAACCAATATAAATATGGCAAAAACGATTTGGCCTATGTAAATAAAGTAAATAAATACAGTTAAAATAAACAAGTGATAAAACATTAATTTATACATTTGAGCTTTAGTACCTTATTGCAAAAGGCATGATAATGACGATTATTTATGATGATGATAATGGTGACAGCGATGGTGATGATTTATGATTGTGATGATGATTGTGATGATTGTTGATGGTGTAATCAATATCCTATGAACATGCACAATGGCTTTCGTAAATATTTTCTAAATGTGTCAATTAGAGACGGCTTTTTTGTTAATATGTTTTATTGATTAATGTTATTTGAATTATTTGTTTTTTATATAATAAATGATTTGTTACTCTATGAATTGATACAGGTACACTTGTCAATACGAATAAGTGATGAAAATAAAATCGTAGGTAAATATTTAAAGAACTTACATTCGTTTTCGCCAACTCCATTCTTAGGAACGTTGGTAGCGCCTTCTTCTAGCAAACCACAAGTACGCATCCAGTGTGTGTTCGTACCATTTAATAAAGTCCAACCACATAAGTTCGTTTCAAATTGGCAATCCAAACTATATTCACCTAGGAATAGAAGAACTTATTATCTTTAAGCTTTGTTTTGAAATTGAAATATTAATTTTCAAATGACTATGCACACACACACTATATCAAAATGTCTGTACAAACCAATTATTGGCTTTCTCAGCTTAACCTCTCCGTCATCTGACTTGTACGTGAGTCGGTCAACTGCGTACTGCGATGGCAGTAGGTATGACACTCGAGTATTGATACCGTACTGTAGTACCAGAAACTTAGCATTGGGATCTGTATGACGTAATGTGTACGATCCTGGGCGTACGGACCCAATCCTGCAACACATTCCGTTGCCAAAAGGATAAGAACGCCAAAAATCAGTACGTTGATTAAATGATTTAGTGGACAACATAAAAGCTCCATTCTGGAAATATCGACATTCTGCTGTTATGGAAATGTAACTGTTAAATGACGTTGAGCTAGTGCCGTTGAAAGTAGTGAAAGAAACCGTTCCTGTGTACTGTTCAATGGCAGGAACAATAGCCATAGCAGGGTCACCTTTTCCGGTAGATAACTTGCCACTTTTTATGTACTGAGCCACGATAATAGGCTTACTTGCTGTCATCCAGACAGGTGAGACTGTATTTACAACATAATCTTTATGTTTGCCAGCATGTAGTGTGAGTGGATCGCTCTGACTACTGATTAGAATTGTTGTATTGTCATACGCTGCTAGTATTCGATAAACGTATCCAGGCTGGGTGTTCAAAAAAGGCGCAAGAGCAAATTCGTACCCGTATGCATTCACTGGCGGTATGAATTCGACTAGATGGTCACATGGTGAACTAGTTGCCGGAACAAAGGCGCATGATGATCCAGATTGTAATGCTATAGGGGCATCAGCTACAATGTGTGTACCGGTACTATCACCGAAGCTCTGAATTTGAATGGTTTCCATAAACTCCAAGGTCCTAGTGATAGTTTCACCTTTTATGTAGCTTCTGGTTTCAAAAATTACAGAGTGTGACAGCGTAATTGTTACATTGGTCAAGTTTTGTACGGCTGTGATGGCAAACTCGGAAAATTCGAATGAAGGGGCATCGAACGACATAACGTAGTATTCCGTACCGAGGGCATCAACGGGAATTGCTTGAAACGCATCTGTAGTTGTCGAATCAGAGTCGATTCCGGCAACGTGTATATCTTTATCACTGGTTACTTGCACAGCTACATCATGGGAGTCTGCAGTCCGGGCAACCATCGAATTTGGCAGGTCAACATACACACTACTTCCATAGTTTATAGTGTAAACACTGCTAATAGCTTTGCCGTATACGTAAACTGTTGTTATTCCCTCCGTCACGGCGGTAATTGTCAAATATGGATCAGACGTATGTGTCTGATGGTTGTCCATAAAGGTCATGATAAAATTTTTACCAATACTGTCCATTGACTCAAAAACCATATCTTTGTCTGAAACCAAATATAATACATCGTTTTATAACAAAAATTGAAAATAATTCTCATTTGTTTTGTTTGTTTTACATTATAACGTTGTGTAATACTGAAAGGATGATGTAGATACATTTCCACTCAACGTGCAATGATAATAATCAGAATAAAGACGTTACTATTCAACTGACACCCGATTCCACGTTCTGTTTTAGAATAAGAAAAGATGTTGATTGTTCCATAATCATGCGATGGTTATGCTATCTTAGTATGGATTATGGCATAATGTCCTTCGTCTAAATTTGACAGATACAGTAACAAAAGCTTAAATTTATACTAGATCAAGTTGTTTTACATTGTTTAGGCTACATTAGGCTTATCTGATTACGAGACTCAATATAAAAGAAATAATTTAATATGTAATATTGAAAACGATAAATAAACATAAAAAAATACGTGAATGAAAGAGTACATGTTACTGAAAGTGGTGCTTATCATGCAAATTGTTAAAAAAAAAGGGGGAAAAAAACATTATTAGTTGACCAGGGTTCATGGCTATGTATAGAAGTGCGCATCTTCACAATAACCCTAAACCAATTCCTCCGCCTGAACTTAATATTAAAACATTATTTGTAAACTTTAGTACGGTATAGTTGATTAAAAAAAAAACAGAGGAATGTTGTGTTAGTTGAATATAGTGAGAGTTTTTTTTAAACAGTAGGATATTTAGAAATTAAAATATGAAATTATTGTATTATTCTGATGAAAAACATATTCTCATTTTAATTTCTAAAATATACACTCACCTAAAATAGCAGACGTTTTAGACTTATTGGTGATGGCGATAAGTAACAAAGCAACAAACACAGCACACTGCCTGCTTCCCTTTCTAATGTGCACCTTCATATTGTTCTAAACGATATATGAATAAATGTATTATATGATTATATATTGTTTTATACTGAGATGTGGAATTAATTCCACTTCTGCGGCTATTGCCGTGGGGTTGATCCACTGAACTAGCTCAGTAAAGTCACTCAATTTGTTCAAGTTTTATTATGTGTTATATAATGTATTTACAAAATTTGAAATGCGGATAATTATTGCTGAAACGTCAAAAATTCAAGTAGAATAGTCAATGACATGCTGAATAAAATGAGTTCCTTTAGGGCCTCAGCAGTTGGTACAGTTAATGTGTTTTCAGGATCAGTCGTCCACCTCTTGAATTCTTGAGGGAAATGAAAACCCATAGGCAGTGGCTCTGTCATATTGTGGTGCTGGATAAACGGTTTTTAATACGTAGAAATCTATTTAGTTACTATTTAAAGTATGAATATCGAGTGCTGTTAGTTTTAGAAATGTCCGAAATGTGTAAAATAGTACCTTTGACATTCAGTGAGATACTCTCGTATAAATAAGCTATATATAGCCTTTGAGCTAAACAATACAGGAATGTTTGTTATTTATTAACTTATATATATAAACGTTTTAGCTATTTCACCATTATATTATACTGTTGATATATATATAATATATAATAAAATATATGCTTCAAAGTAGTCACCTTGTGAAGAATTCTCATTCTATTATGCAAAATTATGCAAATTGAACAAGTTTATTGTGTGAATTAAAGGTCTTTGTTACAATTAGTTTGGGGTTTTTGTTTTTCTTTTTAATTTGTTTTTTTTTTCTTTTTAAATGCCTGTTTTTTCACACTTCATATTTCCATATAGACGAGAGATGGTTTATTTGTAATACAATATATCTACACAAGGAGATTTGTTTATGTTTTAAGACATGTGGTTAAATAATATTGTGTAGGTGACAGGTTATACAGTAGTTCACCGTCCGGCTATGAAGAATACTAATTGAAACAAGTAAACGCATTTCACTTCCATTTTGGGGTTATGCCAACCTGTTGACAATGGAATAACTGTTTCCGGTTTCTAATGTCATCCTGTTTAAGTACTGATTTAACTGTGATTGTGATAAGCAGACACTATCTAATGTTTAGTTAAATTTACGCTTTTAGGATAGTGGCTCTCGTCAAGGCTCTGTTAGAAGAGTGTAGTTTAATACTAGAAACACTCATCCCAGCCCACATGAGTTATGCCACTGCCCATATTACAACCACTGATCCTTATATGGATGCATAGTAATTTAATTTGTTTCCTACAATATTACGTAATCAAGATAATAGTATATAAATATCAATTACGAGCTAAAAAAAAAGTTAAAAATTGTACATTAAAAACCAAATTTCATCTTTTTATGCCTTATATCTATAAATTAATGCTAATCTAAAAATGCAAGCACGGTTTAGAAATGCTCCTCGGGAAATAGAGGAGAACGTTTGTCCAGGGTGTATATTATATCAACATCAGTAGCATTTTGCTCCCCTTGGCTAAAGATGCTGTTAAAAATCCATAAACCTCTTATTATTTATCATCATAAAGTACTAGACAAACACGAACAATAAAGTGTTACTGCATCGGATAGATTTTCATTTAATTGCCTTTATCGGAGATCGTGTAATGTATCCCAGTGCATTGTCTTTCGGTCCTTGATCTGTCTTGTTTTATGTTATTTTAACCGTGTATAGCTACATTCTATCTATTCAGACCATACATTGTTTACAAGTGAGTATTAAGTTGTTTCCGGATGTTATCTTAACATTTGACAACTGACGTTTGTATCTATTACAAAACATAAGCCATAAATACCACTTTCTTTTTTGTGTTTCTGTGCTTTTGTCTACTAAACAATGACCAATTATTATAACATATTCAGACTGGCCAGATTAAGTGACCATTTTATTTTGTTTAATTTAAAACTCAATAATTGTGTTAAATACAATAAATTTGTACACGTCTCATCATCATACGCCTGCGTGCTCCTGAATTCAATAACATTCTTAGAAGTTTCCACCGTAATTCTCGAATAAGCGCCTAGGCTAATAACATTTGTGGAGGCTTCAGTGCGGAACTTATTCTAGAGCGCTGCTTAAACAAGGTCTCGCAATCTCGAAAGCTCCGATGAAGGCAGTATAATAATAGTAGGCAGTAGAGTATATTGGCCCTGACGACCGCCCATACAAAAAGATACATTAATCAATCAGCAAAAACTGTTCCCTGGATCATCAATCAGCAGGGTGTCAGAGCTCCTCATCGGAGCTAAAAAGATCTTTTATTCAATCAGCCAAATATTATTAGAGCTTTTCATCGGAGCTAAATAAAAATAATTGGCCTTAAAGATATTAATCACTCAGAAGGGTATTCCTAGAGCAGCCGAGTGTTTCTAGAGCTTCTCATCGGAGCTAATAATAATATAAATAAATGACCCTAACGACCGCCCATACAAAAGAGAATGAAAAAAGTCTATCAATCAGCCGGGTGTTCCTAAAGTTTCTCAATCAGCCGAGTGTTTCTAGAGCACTTATTCGAGAGCGGCGCCAAATCACGTTTGGTACAGCGCTTATTTGAGAGCGGCGCTTATTCGAGGATTTACACTTTGTCTTCTTTGTTAAAAGGGTTTTTTTTTTTTACAAATTCATTCCATATGGTGTGACGACTTTTCTTATTTGATGTGGCGAATGAGAGTAGTTTTTAAACAGTTGAGTCTTCTAAGTTATATGTGAACTTCCAGTATTTAGCTCTAATTTTTGTATTCTATACAGTAAGCTTTATAATAATTATTGGGATAATGTTTGCGATTCTGCGTGTTATATAATTGTAGGCCTATTATTTTTGTGTATTACTCTTGTAATTTTTGTTCAGTCTGTGTAACATTTAACCTATACTTTATTGTTAAAATTATATTTTATCTTAACTTATTACAGGATTAAAAGTTTATGTTTTATTGTAAAAGTGTTTTCAAGATTATTTACAAATACAATGTCTTGTTTTCATCCTATTTACTGAAATTTGGTTAATATTAAATTGGAACAAATTTTACTGCTTATAATAAGTGGCATTAGTCCTTCACCTCGTTTCCGACTCTTCAAGATCTCACCTCCTGGTATACGTAATTACCAAACCATGTGTGTCTTAGAAATCTGAAAGTGATATGGCTAGGGCCTTATGCTTTGTCTACGCTATCATTTTTTGTGACAAAAATGTGATGTGCACAATATAGTAGTACGATGACGTCATATCACATACTATCAAATTGTATCAAAAAAAAGTTTAACATGTTCAACTTTTATTTTCCATCACATTTTATGTGACGCTTTTTTGATGAAATGTTATAGTGTAGATTAACATTCAGACTAGTTTGAGGTAAACTGTGCTTAGTGTCAAACCCCAGTATTCTTGGTTCAGTCCTCAGACTACAATTTATAACACCAAAATGTCCATGCGGTAAAACGTTCCAAAGTAATGATGAAATAAATTGTCTGGCGATAATGGGCACACAATAGTGGCCGGATAGGCAGTGTTAATAAACGCGGTAACACCGCGCATATAATAACCCCAAAATTGGAACAAGGGTGTTATAATGCAAGGTTGGCTACCAAAAAACCGCTTATCTGACACATAACTAACTATGGGAAGGGTTGGTGGGTGAGAGTGGCGTTCTCCCACGTGCTTCGTATTATTTATTCTTTTTTTTAAATACTTGTATTTGTTTAAAAATTAATGATAATTAATAATTTAAGCTATATTTTGTACTGTATGTTTAAATTTGTATTTTTACTATTTTACTATTTTAATGTTCTGTATTTTCGCCTGTTCTCTTGTATAATTTGTGTGGTTCTGTAATCTGTTCAAGGGGGGATGTAGATAGAGGTGCTTGACACCTGTTCATCCCCTCCTTTTCGCTGCTTTTTGTCTTGTTTTTGAATTGTTCTTGTATTTTTGCAGTGATGAAGTGTAATAAATAAATGTGCACAACATAGTGGTACGATGACTTCATATCACATACTATCAAATTGTATAAAAAAAAAGTTTAACATGTTCAACTTTTATTTTCCATCACATTTTATGTGACGCTTTTTTTTTAATGAAATTTGATAGTGTAGACTAACATTCAGACTAGTTTGAGGTAAACTGTGCTTAGTGTCAAACCCCAGTATTCTTGGTTCAGTCCTCAGACTACAATTTATAACACCAAAATGTCCATGCGGTAAAACGTTCCAAAGTAATGATGAAATAAATTGTCTGGCGATAATGGGCACACAATAGTGGCCGGATAGGCAGTGTTAATAAACGCGGTAACACCGCGCATATAATAACCCCAAAATTGGAACAAGGGTGTTATAATGCAAGGTTGGCTACCAAAAAACCGCTTATCTGACACATAACTAACTATGGGAAGGGTTGGTGGGTGAGAGTGGCGTTCTCCCACGTGCTTCGTATTATTTATTCTTTTTTTTAAATACTTGTATTTGTATCAGTAGATTAGACCAATTATACTATTAAATATGGCACTATTCAACAAGTTTGGGAGATAGGGGGTGTAATGACCATTTGTCCACCAAGTAATTATGAATGAAAATAATTCATAACCAGAACAAAAACATTCACATGTGATCAATAATAGATAATCAAAGAATGTTTTTCCAAATCTGTCATTTTAATTTTATAATAATAATTATCCTATAATATATAATAATATAAGATAATATTAATTATTAACCTACTAACAAAACAACATTGCTTTTGAAATTCCTTTATGCCTGTACGACAACAAAACAAAGCACTTACGTTAACGAAAAGCACATGCATGTCAATTTATTTGTAATTGGTTGTTGTTATCTATTCAAATTATGAAAATCTCATTGAGAAGAAAAACATCTCAGATCAAATACCGCGTCAATATGAAGACAGCTAGATAGAGGCTGCGAATTACCGCGTCAATATGAAGACAGCTAGATCAATAGTGAGCTTACCAATGAAATTGTGCTTTTTTTTAAACATATTCATAGAGGTTGACCCTTTAAGTGTATTCTCGAAGATGATGATAATGTATTTTTTATTTATTTCATGAAGCCTAATTAAATACAGTGTGTTAGTGCTTTGTATAACTCATAATTAATATTTATAGTAGAATATGATAGAATTAGACAGAATACTATTTTATAGTAAAATATAATAGACTAAGTTTATTGAATTTTAAATTTGGATTTTAAATGTGTATGCTGTAGGCCTATATTTAATTTAACACTATGTACATGTAAACATTTTACAACACATATTGCTAATTCTATTTTCTATTTGTGGTCTGTTCATGTCAGTACAATTACACATTTCAAATATAATTAGTACCTTAGAGTGCTCCTATAAAAGCATTTCAATTTACCTTCCAATTTTTTTGTAACATTTTGCACATTACAATGGAAATTGAAATATATACCGACTTGTAAAGCGCCATATAAAGTTAAACAATTTTTTTTTTCAGAATGCTTAAAGAAAATGAAAAATGATATAATGAAAACTAACCCAATGCACTATCCCAAAACTAACCAGTAACGATATTTAAAAAAATGTATACTTACATTGAAAATACAAAGCAAAATCGTTGATGATGTAGTCGTGTACAATTATATAGGCCCAGGGATGTTGTTGACGTTGCCGAATAAAGTTTACTGCCACTGGTAGTGCACTACTACTAACGACTGAATCGATATTGTGTTCCACCTTGGGTGACAAAAGTATTTCCTGCTTCAGGAAGCTCAAGGCTCTGATATTGGTAGAAACACTTCTCACTAAAACAATACACCAGGACAGTATAAAGACGACATCGTTTATATATCGTGCATCACGGATTTTGATTTTTAAATTGAACAAAATAGGCAGATTATGTCAACAGTGGGTAATATAAATGCACAGTCTTTTAGAATCAAATGGAATAGTGTTATCCGTCAATAAAAGAAATATTACTTTCTTATTCGCAAATATTGCTTACAATAACAATGATTTAATTTAAGATTTTAATTACAATTGGCTTTTTATTTATTACATATTTATTTTCGTTTTTCAATATGGAAAATGCATTTCAGTAATTTAATTCGTTAATTTATAATTACTGGGACTGTTGTTTCGATTGTATTTACGTTGTAAGAGAAAACCCGTTGATTTTTCTGTATTTGAACCCAAATCGTCCCTGAAAATATACAATTATATAGACATGAAGGGTGAAGAGATTATTGGTGAGCCTGTGAATGGTTTGTCGACACTCTGAGTTTCTTACCATCGTTGTAGTAACATGTATGAACGGAAGTGATAACGCTTACTGAGCTTATATAGTTTAACACATGTGACTGGTTGTCCCTGTTGGTATAATATTTCGTCATCCGATTTGGCAAGTATATCGACTTTTATCTGTTTTATCTGTCCATTTGTTCAGACTAGCTATGCTAAAGACGAGTTTAGTGTCAGTAGGCCTATAACAGTTGCGCTATATAAAATATTTCTTTTTATAGAAACCAACTAATAGGTACCGGTATAGAATAACAGAGAATTACCGTGTTAGATTATGACGTCAAAAGTGATCAGTAACAGTACACTTGTAGGACAAAGTCGTAAACGAGCTATTATTAGAAAAGAAATAAATGTTAATTATAGCAGTTACAATGTTCAACTGTGGTATTGTTTTCCCCCAAGTTAAGTTAATACTATTGTAAGTAAAACGGCAACCACAATGTTGCTCCGAAGAGCAGCGTAGCTCAGTCACTAATATGGTGGTAGCCGCTGTGTGTGCGCTGAACCGTGGAGATCTCTCGGTCCTGGGTTCAATTCCCATCGCTGGCTCTCCTTGTTTTTCAGCTAGAGGGATGAAATACAAGTTACAATAGCGCACCGTCTTTCGGATTAGACGTTTAAGCCATTGGTCTCGTGTGCATTATGGCCCATGTGCACGTTGGACAACGCAGTACACTCTTCGGAAAAGATAGGGGAATGTTTCCCGGTGTACTGCCCAATCACCACCTGAAGAACCCCACTGGAAATAGGTCTTCTTCTAGACTTTCGTGGGCTATCCTTGGTGTTTACACCGAATAAATCCAATCCAATCCAATCCGAAGGAACTGAGCCGTAGTAAGAAAATTGTACAAGAAATGCAAATAAACTCGAAAACCATTTCTTAAGGAAAAGATATGTAGATGTAGAATTGTCTGTCATTAGATTTTATTTTTAAAAAAGGATTATTCAATTCCATATTTGAATAGCCTGGACTGTGGTATTGTTTCAAGTTAAATGAATACCATTGTAAATAAAATGACAACCACGATGTTGAATAGGTCCATGCTCTGAAGGAAGTGAGCCATAACCAGAATTGAGGAAGTGTAAAAAAACCTCAAAAACCGATTTACCAAGAAAAATATTATGTGTAGATATATTGTCTGTCTTTAGCCTAAAAAAGAAGGATCGATTCCATATTTGAATAGCCTAATGTTGATAGTTAACTTAAGTTGCGAAATTTTATTAAAATTTGAATGAGAATAAAATTTCCAGTAAATATACATTTCCTTTCATTTTCTATAGACCCTTAGGTGGCTGGTGTAGTAAAATTCCAATAATTTAGCAAAAACTACAATTGTTCGCTCTGTTTCTGTTTCGAACAATCTTGGTTTAGTTGGATTTAATGTATCAAACACTATTTAGTAATTATATATTTACGAATTATTAATTATGTACTGCCTGCCAAGAAAAAAAAATCGGTTAAAAAGTAAAAATGAAATTTTTTTTAATGAATTCCACATTTAGAATTATTTAATGTGTTTTTCTTTACTGGTGGAAAACCTTCAGATGAACCCGATTCCACCTAAATGATCTGATAAGTATCAGTTTCGGCGGTAAATAATAGTTATGAAAGTCATGATGACGTTACCAAACCTGAGGGGATTCGGATCAGAAGATTGATGACTGGTGCTGGCACCAGTACAGAAGTGTATCAGCATTTCATTTGTCACCGAAACCGATCCTTTAGATGGAATCAGTTGTCAGATGATTGTTTTTGATGTGGGTATGGAGTATCTTGTCCCATCTCATAAGTCCTCTTCAGGCTGAATGAAGAGACCGCATGCAGCTGTGGATCAGCTTTCCCTCATATCCTGATTAACAAGCATGTTTGCAGTGGGAAGTGCGTGAATAGCTAAAATCCTCTAGCAAATAAACTAATTGTAAATATTGTCACTTATTGATAAAAAGTTGGTTGACCATAGACCTGGGTGGCCGCTAAAGATCCCAAAATGTCTGGTGGCAAATTCAAGTTTAAATGGCCTGCTTGCATGGGCTTTTGTGGGAAATCCGGGTGACAAAATGCCTTGGTGGTTTGGCCCAGAGTGGCAAAATACCGAGAGGCAATGGGCATACGGTGACAAAATTCCAGATGGGATGGTTGTTTGGCAATGGTGATGATGGTAGAGATATAATGTGCAGTAGGGTAGGAGCTTTGGTAGGCCTCTATAATTATGATGCGACGCAGGGTGATTTTATTTAATATTTTATTGAGAATTATTCTAGTGTATACTGTAGTCTCGAGCTTATGGTCTTTCCCTGCTGCTATATCAAAACCAACACAGACATATATTGAACACTAAAGGGTAATTTCCTTCCGATACAGATTGACTGCTAGCTGTTTACACGTAGTGATAAAGATCAGATTCCTTTCTCCTGGGGAGTCTTGCGCTTCCGCCGTTCACACTTCACTTATTCCGCTGATCGCTTTGTTAATAAGTTGTCATGCATTAATGTAGACTCTAACTAATAGTTACAGGATTTAGTTTATGTTATCCATCTGAGGTATTATATTTATCTTCTTAGTAGGTTTGTAGGCATTGGTGAGTAGAGGGTACGCATACCTCCCTAGCACCTCCATATAAAAAGAAAGCATAGTGGTGGGTTTGGACATTAACTTTTCTGTGGTAAGGGCTATAGCTAAATGGAGGGGGTAGGCCTAGTTAATTACAAATCAAATATACCTATTGAATTTCGTCCGTTAACGAAATATCAGCAAAGAAATAATTTGTATACTCTGGTCCAATACGTTTTTGGATTATCTTTTTTTCAGAATGCCCGGAATTTTCCTCGTAAATATTCACTAGGTACCCCAGTTGCGGCTTTGTCTAGAAAATCTCCGATTTTCCAGTAAAATAGACAACGCGCCCTCATTAAAGTCATTGAGTAGAGATAAGAGAGTCAATTCACGAAGAAACAATACCATAGTCAACAACGTGATCTAAAATATAAAATAAATTCTTTAAGGAATCTTAATACATGTGTTGATATTCACTAGGTACCTCGGTTGTGGCTGTCAAAGTAAAGACCCCGATCTTCCAGTAAAGTACCGTACTCTCGCGAATAAGCGCCACGTTTGAATAAGCTCCACGTTTGAATAAGCGCCACGTTTGAATAAGCGCCCCTCTAAACGCCCCTCCAAATAAAAATTTCCTTAAGCACCCCGTTTGATTAAGCGCCCCTTCTAATTTGAATAAGCAATGTCATAAGATTTTCTTTTTAGCAAGACAATAATCCAATCAATCATGAAGCTGTGGTTGTTGGCATGATTTGAGTTGCAGAGTGGAATACCATTCTTCTTTAGGTCAATATCAAAATGAGGATATTTTTCTTGGACAGATGAGAGCTCCGATCCCTGGATAGACAGTATATTTCCAACTTATCTTATATATTTGTCTGGCCTAATCCAAGTCCTCTTTTTTCATTTTCCGACAATTTGCACCTTTAGCACATTCTCTATTCGCGCGAGTACGGTAGACAGGGCACCCTCATTAAAGTCATTAAAGCGAAGAGATGAGAGAGTAATATCGTGAGAGGGAACAATACATTAATAGTTAACAAGGTGATCTATTTTTTTTAAGGAATGTTAAAAGTTGTTTTAATGTTAAAGTAAATTACTTGATAATTACAGTTGTTTGCAATATGACAAAACGAAATTTTTAGTATAATTCAAGCCTGATTAAAACAATTTTAAAAAATCGCCGCATTAGTAATCCAGACCAGAAAGAGCGAATGCTGGTTTTGGGTAGACTAGATAAGCAAGAACATCAGATTAATGGTCAATTGTTTATTTATATCCCAACTGTACACAAACTTACAATCGTATGTGAATATATTCTGCGTGCTATAATTACTCGAATATAATTTGAGAATATTGAAATCATAATGCAACTGACGATCCATGAAATAAGAAGTTTACTGTTAATTGTTAATTATATTTGAACAAAAGGTATTAGAAAACAACAGTTGTGTATTTGCAAACGTATTATTATAGACCTATTACTATTATTGTTATTGTTATAACTATTATTATTATTATTATTATTATTATTATTATTATTATTATTATTATTATTATTGAGCCCTTCATACCAAATCGATAATAGCCATCCCTCTTTGCTCCGACCAACTTGTTTTTGCTGTACCGGGAGGTGTATTAGTATTGGCATTCTAGTTCCCAGTTTAATGTATTGCATAATTGGATGAATTTATGTATTTGCGAATTGCGTGACATTTGCAAAGTGGTGTGGTTTTACTCAGGGTCATAACAAAAAAAAGATTATATCGGCCTTTATTGTTACCTGGATACATAACATTTTGATTAGTGACGCTTAACCACATACAATATTAAATATACTGTATAATCACAATATATGGTGGATGTTTCAATAATAT